GGTGTTTCATATCTCACGGGTATAACTAGGAAAGCCTGTTCTCAACCTCTGTATCACACTGCTGGGATGTCCCTGCCTCCTGGAAGAGGACACATATCTACGCCATGGCCTTTTTCAACAATCTTTGTCCTTGGCTCTAGGCCTTTGCAGGCTGCTCCAGCAAATGGAGGTACATGGAGGGACTGGCCAGGGGCTGGATCAGCAAATAGAACCCTGTGTCTTGTCACTAGTGGTTGGATATTACTAGAACTTACAGGTGAAAAACATCTTTCAAAATTCATGTCTCCTCAGCTGCTTCTCCTAGGGCCTAAAAGTCCCTGTCTAAAACCCACGGCAGCTTGTCTCCACCTGGCGGCATCAGGAATCTTCCTTAGAACATGCTCTGTTTTGCCCACCCAGTGAACCCAAAGGCTTCTTTATCAGGAGTCTATCAGAAGAGGTAAACCTTGCCTCACTAACCCTGGTGCTGGATGAGGGCAGATGCTGACCAGGGCAGCCCCTTTGGGTTTCCTCCCCTGGTGAGATCTCCCTAAGCCCTTACCAGGGAGCGCTGTGTGCCCCTCTGCCTTTGTAGAGAAGGGTTTGCTTGGCTCAGGCTTGGAAGGAAAGATGTGCCTGCTTTGAGTGATAAAGGCCATTGACATGGATAATTGTATTTTTAGATCTCAGAAAATTGGGACAGGAGACATCTGTGACAGCCTCCCTGGACTTCTTCGTTTGGACAGTAAGACCCAGAGACATTTTAGAAAAATGGAGGCTGCCTGCTGAGATGAAGGGACAGTCCTATCCATGGGACACATCCACAAGGTTGTCCCCACCCCCACATTACTAGAAACCGACAGCTTCCTCCTCAACCCGCTCCCTCTGACGTAGAGCTCCTTGGGAAAGCAGGATGCTGCTTTTAAAAAGTACTCATTGACCTTGAACTTTTAAATGTGTTTCTCAATTTTCCCCTTTTATCACTGTCCGGCTAACATTATGCTGTGTCATTTCTTAAGTTCCGGTATTTAATATAAAATATTGAATGAAAACATATTTTACAAACAGACTCCACAACTGGGTATGGGAGGAGGGAACATTTTGCCAATCATGTTAATCCTTTTTTCTGGGCACTTGGCAAGCATTTCTAGTATCCAAACAAGCAAATGGGCAAGAAGGCATCGCTGTTACATTCTCTCAGCGCTCCTGCTCCTTCGGTTTCAGGGCCAACATGCCCTGAAAACATGGTTGAGTGTGGACTTTCAGTCAGAGCTGAGTTAGAATCCCATCTCTGCCATACATGAGCTGTATGACCCTGTGTGAAGTATTTCCTAGAGCCTCCATTTCTGCATCTGTAAAATGGGAATGTTCTCAATAAAAGAATGCAAGCAAAATGGTGCTGGCCTGTATAGAAACATCCAATAAATGGCGCCCTTTGGTGTTTGAAGGTTAGCACTTGAGCACCTATTTGGGAAAACCATGGGTGTGTGTTAAGAGTGCTGGTATCTTAAGAGTGCTGAGTTCACATGGGGGTCAGGCCATGTCAGACAGAAGCCCCCTCTTCCTGTCAGACCTCCCTGACATCCACACCCCATTCTTCATCTGTCTCATGTTTCTTCCCAGAGTGTCTCCCTCTTTCCACCCCTCCTTCCTTTTTCTCCTGGAGTCCAACTGCCTCCTCAGTGGCCATCAGAATCCCTGCCATGGCAGGCAATCCTTCTCGCTCAGTGTCAACATCACCAATCCTCTTGGGATGATGTGAGGGGGAGAAACTGCTTGTTTCAACCACCCCATCCTCTACATTTATCTCTGCCCCATCCCCCTGGACCATCCTTCAATCCTCCCCTGCTCCATAAAAATATCTCATTATCTCTTAAACTCACATTTGCTAATTTGGTCTGCCATAGCTGCTTACATCTGAGATCTTTCTGTCTGAGGCTTCCACTCATAGCTGGCTGATTTTCAGCCTGTGCTTAAAGGCACTGACTTCCCAGAGTCTTGGTCCTCACAGGGTGTGTCCTCCTCCCCTCACTAGTCTCTGAAACCCAACCTTATTCAGGACATTGTTTCTGCTGGATGGTCTGGTGGGTTTCCAGCCCTCTCAGAGGCGACCCTTTCCTATGCTGTCTGGCTCTTTCTTTCCTTCTCAAGGTCAGTCTGAAAACTAACAGAATCATGATTTTGCTTGGAAAATGGAAAAAAGCCCAGATTCCCTCCCCTGAAACAGCTCCTTTTTCCTCAGTGCAAGAAATCAGACCAGGTGTGGTCACCCTCATCATGAGCATTCTGGCCCTAGACCAGAGGTGCACACACCTGCAGGAAGAACATGCCTCTAGGAGCCACTGCCTTTGCCCTTTGGTACCCAAGACAGCTAAGCAAGTGGTTCCCAGCAGGAGCGAGATGGTGGGGAATTCCTGCCTGCTTGCGAGGCTGCTGACTCACAGGGATTAAATCCCCTCCAAAGCCATAAGATTTCAGTTTGTGGGTGTCAGGGAGGTAGAGGCCTATTGTAGAGATGAGGACTGAATGTGGTACAAAGACTAGATATGCAGTTGTGACATCGCACCACACCTCACCTTACCCAGGGAGGTCTTCTTTGCTTATGGAAACTCACTGACAGAGGAGGGGCAGACTGTGTTTGAAAACAAGCCTCCTCATGGATGGATTCGCCTGGGCTAACACATGCAGTTTTTCTGACCGTTTTCAGCATGAATGTCCTGACCCACAGCCCCACAGACCATCACAGCAGAGCCCTGGGCCATCTTCATTGGCCACTCTACAGGCTGGAAAGGTTTGGTGCAGTCCCAAGATTGTCAAGTGCAAATCCCATCAGCCTTTCAGCAAGTATTTATTGAGCCCACCCTTTAGGTTCTTGCACATAAAAAGTGTCATCCACAACCCAGCAGGGAGGGGAATCACCTGGGAGCTTGTTAGAAATGCACAATCTCGGGCCTTGTCCCAGAACCTCGGAATCTGAGTCTGCACTTTAACAAATTCCTCAGGTAGTGTCTATGGATATTAAGGTTGAGATGCCCTGACGTAAGTCACACAGGAAAGGAAGATCTGCTTCTTCCCCCTAGAAGCTCACACTCTGATTGGGAAGATATGGTTCATAGATAACAACCAATGGAGCAGAGTGCAAGTCTACAGCATCAAGAATATTTTGGAAGAAAACTTGAGTGCAGAACATCAAGACCAAGTCCTGCCTCAGCCACTTACTTTCACTGAACCTCAGTTTCCTCATCTGTGAAGTGAGAGTAATGCTTGACCTATCTACCTTCCAGATGATCCTCGGTGGATAAACGCTACACCCATATACGGTACTATTTAATGTTACTGTGAACACTACAGAAGTTTGGAGATGGGAAGGCTAGGGATGACTAGAATAGTCTGGGAAGATCCAGCCAGGGCAGCATGGAGAAGGGGCTGGTGGTGCCTGGAGTTGGCCATTTAAACATATTGAACCATACACTGAATCAGACACTATAGTAAAGCGAGATGGGGAAAGGCACAGTTTGACAACTGTACCTAATATAGCCTCTAGCCTGGGCTGTATATAGAGAGCTCCCAAAGACCAATTTTTTATCAGCCGTCATCCTAACAGTCGGCTGATGGTCAACACCGTGGGCCTCAGAAACACACACTCAATGCCACTGAGTGCTTTACAAAAGACCCAAAGCAAGGAGATGCGTGGTGTCTGTGGGGAGCTGGCAAGAGCCCTACTGCTACAAACCTCAACTCTAGTTTGGGGTACATGGAAGTGGACTTGTCGCTCTGCAGAGCTGATCTGTGAAGATGCCTGGACACCGAAAGAGGATCCTGGGGGACAGGGACCTAAAGGAAATCAACAGGTGAGTTTTTGGGGAATCATCTTCCTAGATAATGCTTATATTAAGCCTTTGCTGTATACTAGATGTTTTCATGCTCCCCCAGCCCCAGCCCCTGCCATTTAATCCTCACTATGACCCTATCAGGCAGGGGACTCTTTTGTCCCCACTTCACAGATGAGGAAACTGGGGATTTAGGATTAGAGCCCAGGTTGGTCTGTTTTCCAAAGCCCGTGACCTTAACTGCTAGAGTAGTGTGAGAATGTCTGGTCTTCCTCGTGCAGCTGAACACAATGTGACTTTGCTTTTGTTGCGCATCCTGGCTCACTCGCTCGGACTCGCTGACGTTTGCCTTGCTTGTCCTGAGCTTCTCCAGAGAAATGCTGTCTCCTGGCAGGAAAAGATAAAAACGGCTGATACAAATGAGTCACCACACTCGCTATAATTAACAGTGATGCAAGAGCCAGATGCAAACTAAGAGGGGCCTCAGGGCCTGACTTTTAGAGCCCGAACTTTGAGCTGCATTGCAATGCAGAAAAGCGTCTGTGGCTGGCTGAGCTGCCATCTGCTCAGGATACATTTGAAATGAAGAAATGAAACCTGGAATGCATGCAAGCTCCAAGATAATGGAGCTGAGGTGGGCGGCACCAAATTAATCTCCTCATTTACAACTGCAAAACCATACACCCAGAACCAGAAAGAGTTTCTAGTTTATAGATAATGTAGATCTTTGCTTTCACACTTGACTGCCCTGGAAAGTCTAAGCAGTTTTCAACGTGCTGAACTGATGTATAGCAACTAGAGCTGTAAATTCAGTTGTACGAGGGGTTCAGCTTATACCTTCCTGATTGTAGTGCGTAGCAGTGAACTTTTTCAAAATAAAATCAGTTATGATCAGCATCTCTCTATTCCCTTTTTCTGAAAATAGAAGTGGTGCAATGATAGCATAAAACACAACTCCCACCATACGATCCATAAGCCCATGCGACCATACGCGGGAAAGGCAGAGCTCTCTGACTGCTTCTATGGCGGTTAATTGCCTCCTGAGGTTCGACACAGAGAAATCAATAGTGGTCAGGGCACGAAGAGACTCAACTAGTGGTCATCGATGTCAGCAGCATCTTCTTACCTATTTAAAAGAGGTTTAACTGGCCTCAAGATTTGAACACAATACAGTTGATAGAATCTTGTCACTTTCGTTTTGAATAGACTTTAATTGAGAGCAAAGTGAAAAATGCAGGTTACATTTTTAGTGTTATCATCAATACGTTGTAAGATCAACACCAAGACAGTGATGCATCTAATATTTATACATTTCCTAACTTTAGTTATCAAAGAGAAAATTATTATCATATATATATTTACACAATAATTTCAAGCAACAGTAAATAATAAAGTCCCTCCCTTAAAAAAGAAAAACCACACACACCCAATTACCCTTAAACAACGGATTTCCTCACACTAGTAAGTCTCATTTTTTTTTCCACATGTACTTGTAGACCCAAAATTATTTAAGTTACTTAAGAACAGTCTTATCAGTGGAGATCCTGGTCCAGCCCCTATTTCTTTTAGGGTCACTTTAATTTTTACAACTTGAAGCCACATAACCAGCGTGGTCAGTACACACTAAGGACACTCCAAATGATTAAAAATGAATTCCACTTCCTTTGTGTGAGGAGATATGTACATCTCTGAAGATGCATATGACAACAACTCAAAAAAGTCTAAAATAAACACAAAACCAAAATCTCAGATCTTCAAGCAGTTTCTTAAAGAGCATTGTGTTAATGTTAACATTGAATTAACTGAATGGTTAGATTCTTGGAGATTTCTCTACAGAGGTACTGGTTAGTTCTGATTCTTTTCTCAGCTGCTTGAAACGCATGCGTTTTAAAAGTTGCCTGGCGGTGTGCTCCATCCTGCCTTTCAGGTTAGCCGCCTGCCTAACCTCTGGAATGTCGGACGGGACTCACCCCTAGTGCCTTGCTCTCTGATTTATTTCTTGCCGTTGCTGTTAGTAAATGGAAACCATGACAAAGTTTACATTAGCAGACACATACACATGCCCTGGCCTATAAATATTCTATGATGGAAAATGGTACAATGACTCCATTCCCAGTGAAAATGAGCATAAAAGGAGAAGGGGGCCGGGGGAGGATGACATTATCAACAATGGCTCTTCTTACACTGGCAAATCCCGACCCAATGGTGATGGGCTTTTAATTAACCGGACGTTGTGAGCCACTTCTCCAGGGCCTTGTGAGTCAACTACAAGTTGGCAAAGCAGAGCCCAAGTCCTCCTGGCAAACCTGGTAGGATCCAGTAGTACAGACATCTTGTCTTGGAAGCTGGACGAAGAAGATCAACTGCCGTTTCCTTCTTGGAGAGGTGAGTGAAGGTGAATTTTTAAAGTCAGGCTTGAAAAGTAGTTCACATGCTGTCCTGCCTGGGACACAGAACTGTCCTCGGGTTGGACCCCTCAAAGCGCGAGCTGGAGCTTGGTCATGTTTCTCTGGTGCATGTTGTGATGACGGACTAACTCGTCTGACCGGGCAAACTTTTTCTGACAACTGGGCCACCGACAGCTGAAGGGCTTTTCACCTGTTGACACAATTGCCAGTGAGACGCTTGCAGTGGAAAAACTGAGCGCAAGTTCAACTACCAAAGCCCTGAGTTAAACCATCATAAGGCACCCACTCCAAATTCCCTCTAGGGCTGTCCCTACGCTAACGAATCAGGCTAATTTCATAGGCAGCACTGAAATGGCAGCACCTCTGAGGCCTGAAGAATTAAAATATTGTAAAAGTTATAAAATATTATTAAGTCAGAAGATGGGAAATGGGAGAGAAGGAATGAGTCCAGTTCATGGAAATGTCTGGGCAATTCATATTTAAGGGGGAAAAAAAGCATTTGTTTCAATCTCTCCTGTTCCACTGTTTTGTGAGCTATGTAACTTTTTCCCCTTTGCTGTCTAAGTAGGGAATTGAACGTAACTGGGCTGCAAGGACCTCAAGATAATCACCCTGGGTATTACCGACTGATCACCATCCAGTAGCAGAGTGTGACTGTAGCTTTAATATCTCTGTGTATATAGGTAATCTGGATGGACTGGGTATTTTTAAATAAATCACTGATACCAGAGTGCATGGTATTTGCTTCTTTTTCCTTAGTGTTACTCTGAGCATAATCGCTGTTGCATAGAAAATTCTAGTTGAGGCATCATTTTGAGATTTTTAACAAGCTTTCCAAAAGATTGAGTCTTCTCCGTCTAAGGCACACTCAGAAGTTCCTTCCAAGCCTCATTCTATACAGGGAAGATAATTAGCATTTATTAAGTGCCTAATACATGCCAAGCCTTGTGCTGGGCATCGTATATATACACCTTGCCTCATATACTCCTTATAACAGCCCTGTAAGGGAAGCACTGTTATGCCCACTGTACAGATGAAGTTGGACATCTGGGAGGACAGACCCAGGCAAGACTCAGATCCAGGTCTGTCTAATTTCAAAGCCCATGTACTTTGCTGTATCCCACCTCCTGGGCCTAGCCATAATGGAAATATAGCTGTGGCTTTATGCTAAGTAAAATGCCACAGAAGCCAACCCCTGTACCACCTGGGGGATCTTGTTAGGATATTGTTGGCCCCCCTGCTTTCTCCGAGACTTACTGGTTAGGACAAGCATTGAGAAATGTCCTAGGGAAGGCACTGTCCCAGGGTCAGAACTGGGGGCCGATCAAGTATAACATTAAACAATGTGCTGGTGACACAGGTCGCCTTGCACATGTGAAGATATACACAGGGTAGGCAATCAGGGTATAATAAATGGTAACTCTTACCCACCAAATTAGGAGTTCAGGACTAAGGCCAAGAAGCGACACCAAAGGCCCTGAGTAGGGGGAACAAGGGGCCCATGCCGCCAACTCTGGGGCACAGGTGCCTTGACTCTGTCTGTAAGTGCATCCTGTTTGGGTTGAAAATCTGGGGCTGCATGGGGGCTTATGACATCACGTCTTCCTTCACCTCCCATTTGCTGTTCCTCTGCTCTTCCTGATTTGGCTCCTCTCCCCACCCTCACCCTCACCCCCACCTCCAGCCATACTGTCAAAGGTTCTCTCCTAATGGTCAAATCCCAACCCTTTCTCTTGATGGTTTTCATTCTCCTCAGCCTATCAGTGGTATTCACCTCAGCTGACTTTAGCTCTCCTCTTGATTCTCTTTCCTCCCTAGGCTGTAAGGTGACCCCCAAACACCAAAACCTTCTTTCTCCAACAAAGAAGGCAGTGGGAGATGGTGGGCTGGGGGCAGATAAAACTGGACTTGCTACTTACTAGCTTTGGGACTTTAGGCAACATTAATCACTATGTGCTTCAGTCCCCTCAACTGTAAAATGGGGATAAAACATGCCTGCCCTACTCTTCTTACAAGGATGTTGTGAAAATAAAGTGAAATAACCTAGGCATTGGACCTCCCTTCTAATCTATAAAGTAAACAACAAAGATGGTGCTGTATTCATTATGAACTACACCAGCTTCATGGAGAAGCAAAAACCTTCAGTAGCCAGGGGAAAAAAAGCCCTGTTCCCCTGTCTATACTAGTACAAAGGAAAAAATATCCACACGCTGATATGAGTCAGGCAGAAACCATGACAGCTCTTGTGACATTAACTTTTAGCAGAGAGGATTTCAGGTCTCTGAAAATAGTGTCTGAGCTTTCAGGACAATCAATGTTTGTTTGCTAAAATTTTTGCTGTTTTTCTGTAACGTTGATTACCATATCAAGCTGAGTGATAAAAACATAATGCAACAAATTGGGAACAGGAGGGACCTAGCTTATCTCTTCCATTTCATGCTGACACTCATGAAGAGTTCTTTTCACATCTCTCTGCTGCTCTGTATCCACCCCCATCTCTTCTTAAACAATGTTATTATTTAAAGATAGCCATACACTGTTCTCTCAACTGAGTCTAAACATGTTTAGAACTTTTACACTAAAATCTCTCTCATCATAAACCACTTCATTCAACAGTAGTTAAAAAAAATAATGAAAAATAAATGTGAAGAAAAGTTTACGCACTTGTTTTACCTGTATGAGTCCTGGTGTGGGTCTTCAGGTGGTCGGACCGGGAGAACTTTCGCTGACAAGTTTTACACTGGAATGGTTTCACACCTAAACGGACAGAGAAGGTCTAGCCACAGCCCTAACAACGTGGGGACATAACGAGGCCCACGAGGCCTGCTTCCCAGTGGCCTAAGGAGCCGGGCATTTCCAGCCATGCCTGCAACAGCTGTCTCACCCTCGAATTTTCCCCCAGGCCCAGCATGAACCACCTGATTCTGCACAGTAGCCCTGGAAGACCTGCTTCTGTCTTGGAAACAACGATTCCTTAACCACAAATGTCCAGCTTCTCACCAAGGTCTCGGCTGTGTCCGAGACTGAAAAAGTGAATCACATGCTACAAATGGGATTCTGATCTCCACCACCTGTGTTATTTACTGATCCTCAGTGCATCATCAGGAAACTGCTAGTGGGATCTCATTGTTCTGTGGTTTGCAAAGGAAATGTGGGATATTTCTTTTTCTTTCCTCTCCTTTTCTTATTTTTTTTAAAGAAGGAAAATCCCCAGAGATTAGAAAAAAGAAATTATTAGAAAGATGACACAAATGACTGACCCTCTCATAGCCCTGTTTAACAACAAAGAGAATCACAGCATCAACCGTAGTGCAAGGGAACGCACTGCCAGCAATGAGAAGGGAACCTACAAACCTGTGTGTCTCCTTTGGTGTCTTTTGAGCTGGTCTGAACGAGAAAACCTTCGCTCACAGTCCTTGAAGTCACACTGGTATGGTTTCTCACCTTGGGGAAGACACATATTCCATTTGAAAATGACACTTGAAATGGGGATCTCATTCCAGGCAGCCTTTCCTGCTGGGATGGAAGGGATCCCAAAAGGCCTACGGCACTTTGGTGGGGCTTGTCAGGTAGCACTGCCAACTGCCGCGTGAGGTTAAAGGTCCACCTGTACATCGGCTCGTGGGCAGTGGATGTAAAATGGGTGGCTACGTCAATGAGGAAGGTCCCTTACCTCCCAGTTAGAAGTGAACGAGAGCTCAGTTTCTGGAATCTGACGCTAGGATCCCACACCGCTCTGCCACTTAGGGAGCTGGGTGAGGTGCAGTTTCCTTATTGTGAAATGGGGCCAATGATCTGACAGCTTCCAAGAATTTATGAACAAATTAAACAAGCCCACCCACATCAAGAGCTTAGCTCGGTACCTAGCACAGAGGCAGTGCTCAAAAATCACTAGCAGAGCCTATTTAAACAAATAATAAACCAAAGGAGTCTTCACTCCTATGCTGAGTCTGAGGCAGAATTCTAGGATGAATGTGCCTTGGACTTGGCCCCATGAAATAAGTGTTTTATATTTTATGGCCTGAAGATTTGGTGTTCTCTGCTACTGACTTCTCATTTCTGAGTCAAGCATAAACGGCTCCGTGGTTGTGAGACGCTCAACTGAAGCCAGGAGCCAAAGTGTTTAGCAAGTGTTTGCTATCCCTTTATCCGAGAGAAGTCAGTAATGGGATTTCACAACCTCCTGCCTCAGCATGGAGAAGCCCCACCCTGTCCTCGCTCGAGAAAGTTCAGCCAAATACTGGAAACTGAGCCCCACGAGTACACTGAGCGACCTCAGGCCTCCTTCCCACCTTCCTATGAGAATTCTGAGTCACCGGCTTCCAGAATGGAGAGCCAGTCATCCCGGGACCGGTCGGGTCTTTCTTTTGCAGGGCAGTGCCTTTCGGGATCCTTCTATTTCCCCAATTAATCTGTATTCCAGAGCTGACCATTCCCAAAATCTGCCTTGCACTTGGCTCCCATTAAATGCCCTTCGTCCCTATCTCCATATTCCTACCCAGCAAAAAGTCTGCTGCTACGTGGTCCTCACAAATACTGCTTCATCTGCTATGCCTTCCTGGAACCATCATGTGCAGATTGAAAGCCCTTCCTTCCTTCATTACAGAGTGTATTTCAGAACATCTAACGTGGTGGGCTGAGTCCAGGTCCACCTTCTTCTATGCACCTTTCCTTAACTTTCCGCTTCTGTCCAGTCCAGTGCCTTATGCTTCACCTCTACAACCTGGAGAGGACAACGCCCCTACTCAGTCTCATTTCTTTGCCCTGTCTTTCAGCTGCTGCTCCTCTTTTACTTCCTCTGCCCGACCTTACCAACCCTTTGATGGTTCACTCAAGCTGTTCCTCCTCCAAGAAACCTTGGATGACGCTCACTCAAATCAATACCCTCTGAAAAAAATCTTTCCAACTCCTCCAGCCTCCAGTTTAGTACACTATCATATATTCTCTTAGTCCCTTTTCATTTGTGTATCTCCAAGCCCCCAAACAGAAGATAAACTATTTGAGAAGGGGGCTTAGGATGTGGGAATTCAAAGGCATGACTTTGAGTCCTGCTTCCACTATATCCTACCCACCTGATAATTGTTTTAGGTGTGAGGATTAAATGAAATAATGCATGCAGAGAGCCTGGCACATACAAAGTATTTTATATAAAAGTATTATACTTAATATAATAGTCTGCACTATTATTAGAAGTAAATTTTTAAACGTGCACTCTTTCAAGAAGGGGGTCCCAGGATTGTTATATACCAGCCTGCCTTTCTTGTCTTCTGCCAGAAAAAGCTTCTTAAAGGCTCCAGCAGATCGGGTAGTCTTGGCGATCCTGTCCACTGTCTTTCCTTCACACAGACAGCTAACCCTCACTATTTTCTAAGTGCCTCTCTTACATTAAAGCCTCTCTACAACCAGATTACCTTCAATGTATTCCCTCGCATTTTTCCAGGCAGAATTTTACTTTACCATTTTTCCTTATCACCTTAACATTTACTTTTCAATTGATCCCATTTGGGGAAATATACAAAAATAGTACACACCATACCGGTTCTCTCACCTTTAGCCTCAAAGCAAGTGGTCTACTGAGTGCAAATTCAGATTTATGCCAGAATTGCATCCTCTGGATGCAATGACTTAGCAAAGTCTAATGGACTAGAGATCTCAATGCAGCTCACTTTCTTCTCCAGCTTCCCCAAAGCAAAGTCAGCAGTAACAATAAAATAATAATGATGATCGTAACAGCGAAGCTGTCCTTCAGTTGTGAAAAGAATGGCACTAGCTTCCCCGTGGGGGAAAGCTTGCACTGCCCACTGTTTCTCTGTATTCCCATCCAGTACCCACAATGCCAAGAGCCAACATTTGGGAAACAACTGTTCACATTCAACGTGGCCAACAACCAGACGAGGCCAATTCTCATTCCCAGAGGCAGGCTCCTTGATCTGCAAGAAAATCTAGTTTTCCTTAACACATCACCAAAATATCATCATCTCTTTTTTTTAAAGATTGAAAAACAAAAACTAAACCTACAATCCATTTTCCCATTCCTATCTGGTTGTTAAACAATTAAGTTTTCTTTGGACCATCTCTGCCTAATCTTAGGATAACCTTGCCCACCAATCTCTCAAAATCATCTGATTACCAAACTCCCAGGCTAGCTCCTCTCTCTTTAGAGATGCTAATAGTATTCTAATAGGAACACTATCATTTATCCAGACCTATGGACATACGAAAGGTCAGACAATTAAGTTCGCAAACTTTCCACTGTGTAAATGCACTGTGGAAAGTTGGCAAATTTAATTGTCTGACTTCGTAAGGTACTATATTAGGTGCTTCATACCTCTAACTCCTTTAATTCAATTTGATTCTAAAATTTAATCTGGCCTTGACAATTGTATAAGGTAGGCATTACCATCACCATCTTTCACATGAAGCAAATAAAGTTCAAATTATTCAAAGAAAGGTTAAGTAACTTTCTCAAGGTCTCGCCACTTGGTGGTAAAGCCAGAATTCAAACAGAAATCGCTTTAATTCTGTGCAGTTCTCTTTCCACCACTTGGCTCTGCCCTTCCTGAAGATTGCTTACTGACTTCTTTATTAAAGGATGGACATCAGGGTGCAAAATGGCCCTGAAGCCTTTTTCTATCACCTGACCAGACCTTTCAAAGGGATGCCTACTTTCCATCTGAGAAATCACCTGTGTCCTCAGTGGTGTGAGAGCCAGGCGCAGGAGCTCCTGAACCAGCCCTGCCCCAAGGCCACCGGAACCAAGGCTGGATGGTGGACACACTTACCAGTGTGCTTCCGGCTGTGCATCTGTAAGTGAGACAGCTTAAAATATCTCTTATTGCAGCCCGGGTAAGCACACATGAAAGGGCGTTTCTCACTGGTCTCAGATGCTGACCGGACAAGAGTCGGGGCTACTCCAGGCATGCGCCGCACATCCTGCAAGCAGAGTGTAAGAGAAATGGAGGCTTTAAGCCACCTGTGAACATTCATGTCAGCCCTGAGGGAAAGTGAGCTTTGGTATATACCCAAGGAAGGGATGGCAGATACAAGGACTAAGACCACCTATCCACCCCCAAGATGCCCATAGCAGACATCACTAATGGATGATAGATCAGACCATTTTACAATGCAGGCTCTGAAGTCATCACTACTGATCAACCAGAACCGGGACTTGAAATCTGTTTGGGGTTGCTGATTGAGGGCATCTGGAAAAGAAATGCTGGTGACTGGAAGAGCTCCCACTCCATCCTGTCTCTCAGCTGCTCTACTTGAGACAGCAAGGTCTGGGAGTCCACAGTGCCAGACACCATTCCATTCCCTCCCACTCAGACACATGGCCACATGACCTGGGCCTGCTCTGCAATGGATGGGGAAGTTCTTATTCAAGAGAAATGCGAGATACTAGATGAGCCCCAAATTGACCAGACCTTCCACATGTGAGTCAACTACAGGAAGAAGGAGCCTGAGATTTGGGGGTTCTGTCTGTGAAGGAAAGCTGAAACCACCAGCGGGCCCATGGGGCCAGTGCAATCCTTTTACAGTGACACCAGAAAACACTGTATCTGCCTTCCTTGCACTGTACATGTCCTTCACGGGGCATTTTGTTGATCCCCTTTATCTTGTAGGAGTGAGTGTGTGTACGGTCAGTCCTCCATGAGGAGCTAGAGGAAAACGGTGAGGCACACTCCCCTTCCTGCTCTCAGGATCAATGAATGAGTCATAGACAGAAGCAAAAGTGCCCAAGGGGCAGCAGAATCCTCATTCTCTTACAGGTGTGCAAGTCGAGGCCAAAGAGCCATGTTTTGTGTTAATACCTGGACCCATTTCTGAGCTGAACCCACTCTCCTCTGTGCATTTTCCATACCACCCCCATGCTTATGTTCTGGTTTTTATTTCTCACTGCCTTGCATTGTGAGATCTTCTATTTCAAATAAAAAGCACTGCAGTGACATGCAACTTTGCTGTTGATAGGCCATAGTGTCTTGAGCCAAATAGTGGCATAAACGTAAATGGTGAGCCAGCTATGTTTGATTGGCATACTCTGGCAGGAGAAAATGAGTGGGTAGTGAAACTGGTCTGGAGTCTATCAGGGGCCATGACAGTAGGTATGGCAAACTGGGCTTGGTGGAAAGAAAGGCAAGGAGCTTTTTCATTTCCTTTAATTCACCCTGGATGCAGCACACATGGCAATAGGATATAATTTCGAGTTGTCAGTGTCAGTCAGGGTCCTGGTGGGGGATTCTGGTGGTATTTGTTGGAGGAGAGACTAGACGACTCTTTCTGTACTTCCATCAGATTTCCGTATTTCCATAACCCTGGCCTTCATCCCCACCATCAGAAGGCCTGGGATGAGGGAGCACACTGTTCTATCACCATGGCGCTTCTGGAAACATTAATCAGAACATCTCTGAGCTCCTTGCCCCACACATCACGCGGGGACCTGGCCCACACACAACGTATTTGTAGAGTACTGACTATTCTAGTCTAAGTATTACAGCTTTTATTCATGTTGCAGCTACTGAGTCACATGCAAAAATCACATGTGGACCTTTGGGAACTACGTATAGTCCTGACCGCCCCAAAGAGGCTCTGTGGAAGTAGCCTTCCACTGAGCTTCCCAAATTCTCCAAAACATTTACCTTTTTACTTTACTTTCTTTGCTCTTCTTGGAGACACCTTCCTCCCCCAACTTGTTCACTGCCCTCTATCTCCCTAAGAGGTAGTATAACATGGTGGTTAAAAACTGGGGCTCTGGAGTCAGACATGTTATAAATCTCTGTGCCACCTCTTACTAGCTATGTAATTTTGAACAAGTCACCCATTTTCTTTCAACTTCAGTTTCCTCACCCATAAAATGGAGATTAATAATAATACCTACCTCATAAAGGTGTACTGAGGATTAAATGGAGTGGGGGAGTCCACGTGTAGACATGGAAGAAGCTTAAATGCATATTACTAAGAGAAAAAATCAGTCTGAAAAGACTCCATACTGGATGATTACAACTATATAACATTCTGGGAAAAGGCAAAACTACAGAGACGGTAAAAAGAGCAATGGTTGTGGGGATGGGGGGGAGGGGTGAGTAGGTGCAGCACTGGGCATTTTCAGGCAGTGAAACTATTCTGTGTGATACTGTAATGATAGATACATGGCATTGTGCATTTAACAAAACCCACAGAACTACACAACACACAAAAATACCCTAATGTGCGCTATGGACTTTAATTTACAAAAATGTGACAATTTTGGGTCATCCGTTGTAACTAATGTACCACACCAATGCAAGATATTAGTAATAGGGCAGACGAGGAAGGAAGAGGGAAGATATGGGAACTCTCTCTCTCTGCAGTTTCCCCATAATTTTTCCTTAAACCTAAAATTGTTCCCCCAAAAAATTAAGCCTATTTTAAAAAGTCCATGTATAAAACTTAGCACAATGCCTGGCATATAGAAAGTGTCCAACCTTAGGCAGTGCTGTTATTATTGTTGTTGTTATTATCAGCAACACTTGACAAGATAGAGTCTAACCCTGGACACTTTGCAATGCAGACCAAGCAAGTTTTCTTAGAAGTCAAAGTCCAAGTCATTAATTCAAGCCCATTTAGCCCAAATATAAGAGCTGCTCAGGCCACCATTGAGAAAGCGAATGGAGCAACAAAGGAAGAAAGAATGGGATTCTGCAGGAAGCATCTTGGTCTGAGTCAGGGAGGCAGGGCCCTTCACACTGGCCTTTGGAGAGGAAGAGGCTGCCCCATCTGCCCCAGTGGAAGAGGAGGGGTCCCTGATGTCACAGGAGCCTACAACTGGAAACCGACTTGCCAGGGCCAAATAGCCATCAGCAGGACGTGAAAGGGTGTTGAGAAGGCAAGGAGGCAGTGAAATCCACTTCCAGCCAGGGCCTGAGTACTCACCTGGATGCCCCTGAAGACGCCGTGGGTGTGTATTCTGTACTGGGCACCACAGAGGATGGGCGTGGTGTGGTTATCGCTCTCATATCCCGCACCGTGGCTGCAAACACAAAGAAGGTAGAACATGGCTCAGGCTGGTCCACAGGCGCCATTTGGAAATGTGCATCTGCAGCAGAAGGAACGGTTTTCAAAAGCTCACAGGGTAAGAGTTGATTTTGCCTCCCTCCACTGGGGCGACTTGGGAAGCAGGGTTTTATGACAGGCGGGGCTGCTCAATCCTCGCATCACCACCACATAGCCCTCCCCCATGCTCAGATTCACACACACACACACACACACACACACACACACACACACACNTCAGATTCACACACACACACACACACACACACACACACACACACACACACACACGGCACCATCTGGGTCTATGCCTCTTTCAGATAAGCCGGGAAAAGTCACAGTGGCAGGATTTCAGCCCCAGCAAGTTGTTTACCGTCTAGATGGCAGGGCTGACAGCTGTGAATAGCTCAGAAATAAGCAGATGCCTCAAGTTCATGTCAAGTACAATGGATTTTTGTCGGCACCTCATGACTCAGTTTTTACCAGATAGCACCAAGAAAGTGATGACACTTACAAGAAGAGATGTCACATCCTCAGAAGTGGGGGTTACACATCTGTGGCCCTGTTCCACTTAACCTACAGACCAGTTTTCCACATCAACTTAACTCTTTGCAGCCAACCCATGCCTTAGGTGGACACCGGGTTCCCCCAGCATTAGATGGACTAGCCCCCTAGTCGATGCTCAGGTTAACCTTGGACTACTAGTGAGAACTGATGGATGTGGAATGTTGAAAAGAACCACTTGGAAGGGGTGAGTATTCTTCTCTGAAAGTATTCTCTCCTTCGGGAAGAAGCTGATATCTGTTTTATGGTTACTTTACTTCCAAAGGAGGGAGAGTAAGGATTCTTAGCCACATGGGCAGCACATTATAATCACATCTCACATCTAGAATCACCATGGAGAGCTTTTATGAAATACCTCTGTGAAATGGTACAGCTGCTTTGGAAAATGTCTGGCCGTTCCTCAAAAGGTTAGACATAAAGTTACCATATGACCCAGAAATTCCACTTGTAGGTATAGCCCCAGGAGAAATGAAACATGTGCTTACATAAAAACTTGTACACTCTGTATAGGAGCAGCATTTATTCATACTAACCAAAAAGTGGAATCAACCCAAAGGGCCACCAGCTGATGAGTAAATAAACAAAATATAGTATATTCATAAAATGGAATATTATTTGGTGATAAAAAAGAATGAAATGCTGATACATGATAATGTGGACAAATCTGGAAAACATGCTAAGTGAAAGAAGTCAGTTACAAAGGACCACCTGTTGTGTGATTCCATTTACACAAATTTATAGAGACTGAAAGTAGATTGGTGGTTGACTGCCTAAGGCTGGAAAGTTAGAGAGAAATGGAGAACAACTGCTAAAAATGTCCTAAAATCGTGGTAATAGTCGCACAGCTCTGTGAATATATTAAAACCAGTGAATTGTATACTCCAAATGGGTGAACTGTATGGTATATAAAACAAGTAAGTCTGCCTTAAAAATCTACCTCTGGGGAAAGGGGTCCATGAATCAGTATATTTTTTAAGCCTCCAGGTACAGTTAGCTGGCTAGCAGGGCTGAGAACCTCCACTCTCCGCCTGTCACTCTAGAGATTCCAGGGGTCCTGGCGCCAGAGGTAGGTAGTTTGGCTGATGAGCCCACTCCATCCAAAGATGTGGGGAAAGCCCGGGGTTGGCTCAACTCTCACTCATCCGGAGGCGAGAATTCCTGGGAGGGAAGGGTGTCTGCCGGGGTGACTGACATGTTCACAGCAGCTGTGGGGTTTCACATTCAGTTCTGGCTCCTTGCTTTTTAGCAAGAGTTGCCTGTCTCCTTTGCGTACAGCAATGATGGCAGTTTGGGAAGGTGGGTGGCAGTTCACTCCCCCTAACCTACGACACTTTGTCGCCACATCTTTCGGGTGATTTCTGGAGTATCTGGAGGAAAATGTCCCAAAGAGCTAAACCAGGTTCAAATGCACAAAAATTGGAAAGACATGCCAAATCCTGATAGTATCTGCCTTTCTGAACCTTAGAATGTGCTTGCCAAGAAAACGAGGCTGTGTCTGCGTTCCTTACAATTATATAGACAGTGGGGAAGTGCGAGTTGATGACAATGGTGATGGGTTAGCAGAAAGAGGACAGCACAAGAACGCTGCTGCCAGAACATCCTGCCTCAAAGGCTGTGAAGAGGTGCTGTCTTTGTTTGGTTTAGCCTTCTGCATGCAGCCAAAATGTGACTGACTTACACATTTTCTAGAGCTGTGGGATCTCTAGGGACACAGCAATAGAAATCTGAAAGTTCTACCATCAAAAGAGAATAATTAAGAATGAAGAATCTCTTGTCAGCTAATCTCTGGGCGTTTCAGGGTTTTTGGAGGGTGGAGGGCACAGGAAATGGACTTTTCTTGGGATACTTGTCCCAGGAAATAAAGTGCTACACCACTCAAAGGGAATGACATGTGCTTACAGCCAGATACAAGTCAACAAACAAAAAAAGCAACCAGCAACAAGACTGTACCTGCCAAATATGTCACTAGATTTTTCTACCAGGTCCATGAATAACAAAGACAGCTGGGCCCCTGCCTATTGGCTCTTGTGTCTCCAGACGACAAACACACCAATGTAATTCCATGCTGTGGAAACCTTGCAACCCAACTCTCCCCCAGTGTGGTCTGCCCAGAACACCAAGTACAACCTGTGGGCATTTAATATGGTGACATCTCTCTCTAGATAAGTAAAGGAAAGCAAGTCGGTGGTCTTGGAACCATACACTATCAGAGGTAGGAAAGCCATCCACTCTGACACCCCCATTCAAAGTTCCTCTAGCTCATCTTCAACAGTTGAACAATATGACTAGTGACACGTTTTTAAGGCAGCCCATGCCTTTTGGGAAGAATTTTCACTGTTAGAAAAGGCCTTTCTAAACCAAGTTAAAATGTGCCTCCTCATTTCTGTCATCTGGAGAACCACAGAGTGAGTATTGTTATTTTACAGCCATCTCTGTGTATCTCCTCTGCTCTATGGTAAACTTGGCCTTGAGGATAGAGACCAACTTGCTCCTCTCTGTATCCTCTCAGCTTAGTGACTAAAGTAGGGCATACAGTCCGTAAATGTTCATGAGATGGACTGGACTGAATCTAACTCCTCTTCCTCATGACAATATACGTATAAGGTATTCGAAGATGGCTCTCTAGGCTACTGAGCTGTGGATCTCTCAACCATTACAACATGAACTGGTATCTAATTCCTGTATTATCTGGTTCTTCTTCTTCTTTTTATTTTTTAATTTGTAAGTTTTTTAATGTAATTAGGAGTTTGTGACAGAGGCTTGCTTAAAATTAAAAACATGCCAGTGGGAAATATAGAGAATGGTACCATGCAAAGGACCCAATCAAGGTTGTTCGATGGCATACGCACATTTCCTAAGAATTCTTATTTTTAAAATCTTAACTGACGAAAATTTCCTTTGAGAAAGCCAAAGCCTTTCTATCTTGGAAATGAGTTTGCTTCAGAGATATTAGGTCTACTTCCAATATGTCGATGTACGAAACATCCAAACCTGTGGAGAATTTTTATGAGTTTATTTGAGCCAAAACTGACGATATATGCCAGGGAGCAAGATCTCAAATGCTCCTGGATCCTCTTCTCCTTGATCTCCTTCATGTTGTTAAATGCTGCTCAAAGTGTGGGTTTAGGATGGATCTCACTGCTCCAGGAAAGTATTTCTATGAGGGAGTGGGGAGGGAGAACCATCCACCAACACAAAAGCCTTTAGAATCAGGGAAGTGACATCAATGCCCAAGACTGGAAAGCACATGCCTCACCCGAAGCAGTTCCATTCCAGTTTTTTTCAAAGTTAATATGCTATCAAACACAACATAATGCATTAGGCCCACTACCAGGGCTCAATCCCTGGGCAGGGGGCGGGGTTTCCCCCTCAGTCGGGATAGAGTACTGCTATTGACACACCTAAAAGCACATCACTTCCTAGCACTCAGGTCACTCTGGTCTTCCTCATTCAAATAAAATCTCCAACCACAACCCCTACCCCAGTATGAGCTGCAATTAAGGCAGGTATCGCCAACCTTCAGCTTGAAGACATGATTTTTTAAGCTGCAATTTAGGACTCCACACATATCCTTCAAATACCATTCTATTTCTTTGAGCAAATCATTCCCAACTGTTGAAATCTTTTGGACTCTTGACCTGGCTTCCAAAACATTGGCTTCCATTTCATGCTATCTCTGCATTTGAGAAGTACCTTGTCACCATTGTATAAGAGGAAAGGCTCTTCCCTGCTATTGTTGGGAGCTATTATATTTACAATATGTGTAACTGTTCTCTGGAATTCAGGAAGTGATAGGATTCTGGAGGGTCTCTCTATGGGGCAACCTGAGAGACAACCTAGTCATTTTGATGGGTCCAGTCCAAGAGAACGTAAGTCATCAGCAGGAGTTACTCTAAGACAGACAGGCTCAGGACGATGGCTGATGGCGCTAGGACATCAGCTGTTGTCAAAACCCAGCTGCTAGCTTAGATGGTCAAGTGAAGCCAAGCTATACCCCAAGAGAGACAAACCTTAAAAACTTCTAGTTACTATGCTGTGGATGAATCAAATAGGAGTGAGGGTAAGATTCCTAGAGGTCTGGAGCCATAAGGCCTTCCAAGAAGGGCCTAGAGCATAATGAAGAGAGTTCTGGGACCAAAGATGCGCCTTCCAAATAAAGGAATCACAGAGCCCTGGGCAGCTGTGGGATAAAATTTCATCATGAACCAGATACAAGGGTCTGGAGCTGATACAAAAAAGCAGGTTCTTGTATCCTGCTGATACAAGAAAGCAGGTTCTAGAGCAGAGTGTGAATCCCACTGACCAAGCAACTGAGAGACCCAAATCTCCCTCAGGGTAGAAATGCATCCAATAACTGATCTACCTTCCAACCCAGATAATGAGAAAGAAAGTAAAAGAACCCTGACACTACAC